TCTATGAATCTCATCGTTTGGGATCGCGATTAAGTGGTTTGAAACGTAGTTTATTTTACCGCCATGTCGACATGTAACGTCCTCTTCACACATGCGACAGTGATGAAATAGGCGTTTCAGCACATTTCCAAAGCCATGGATATAAACACAAACAAACCCGCGTTCACAAAAGTCACGAAGGTAAACTTATACATCAGTGTATTGGTAAAATAGAGGATAGCAACGTTAAATTTAATTAAACGGTCGGTTTCCTCTTTATCGGTTCCTAATCCCGGATTAACTCGGCCGGGGGGAGTTGCTACACGGTCGGCGACTCAGAAAGGACCAAAAACGACGCACTTGTCTCAAAGGCATCGCTCTTGAATACCAGAAAGTCCTTGATTTATTTCTATAGTCAGTTATGATAAACCACAAAAGGTGGTCTTTTAAAAGCGCATTTTTCTCCTTGTGTGCAAAGCACTCTAAAAAGGTGCGGTTGGTTAGTTTTGTGACTAAAATCCTTCAATAAATACAGAGCGCGATGTGGGGTGCTGCGTTCTAAATGAGGCGCGAACTTGCCCTAAAACTGTAGTTTAAATTCTGTCCTTGTGACTTTGTTCGTAGTGATAAAGCGTAAGATAGGCTATTTGTCATATCATCCGAGATCCTATCTCATCCCAAACTGCCAAGATGCTGTTAAAATGTTCTTTTCGTCAAGGGGAGGGGCTTGGGGCACGTTCTTTCAAGAATGATCATACTTTATGCATCCGTAAATGCCATAGAAAGTTGCGAGCAATTTGTAATGACTTGCCAAGTTGAAATCATCACTAGAAACAGGTGTACCATTATCCGTTAGTTCTACAGTACGAAACAAAGCCATATAAGGACAGAAGGCGCAGCCAAAAGTCAAGCAAACGCCAATGGAAACGTAGTTAGTTTCCCATTTGTCAAAGTTTGACAAAATCCCCGGGCGGCAGCCGTCCCGTCGGTGTGTGTGTGCGGTGTGTGTGTGTGTGATGCAGCGCCTGTACGGTAGTAACGGCACGGCGGCGTAATCCCCCGGCAAACAACCACAGGGTGTTAACGCATAACTTGATGACTGTTTGTTTAACTCCTCTCGTCAATATTAGCGAGACGCTAAGCTCCTTAACACAGGGATAATTGGACGTCAATGGAGATCAAATACAGCCAGAATGGAGGGTGTCAGAAGCGGTATGGGGGTTACAGCTGACAAAGGCACAACCCTGGACAAGCCCTAGAGCGAGAAAAAAAGCATGAAGTCGCACAAAGTGGACAACACGAGCAGAACGGGGCGGTGTTGTGTCGTGGAGCATGCTACATTGAGAAATCTGAAGTGGGATTAAGGTTTATCTAGTTAGGTGGGAAATTATCGCTCTTGATCCAGCCGACGTCGTGAGACTGAAGTAGACTGAGGGAGCCTCTCTTGTCACAAGTGTCTAACAGAGAACTGAGAGGCCGTAACACACAGTGTTCGTTGATCTCTACTTGTGCTGAAGTCACATTTCCAAACCAGGGCCAGGCCGGGCTGCTTTGGTTAAGGAAAACTCAACAATTTATCAATAATACACGCAAATAGTTCCCATCAATAATTTTTTTCAACTTTTTGTGCTTTGTTGTCTTTCATATCATACTTTTCGTTCCATAAGAATGTCCGGCCGGGCGCCGGTTTGGAAATTTTGGATTTTGGGACGCTTCGAATTCAGGTCCTATACATCACATGTATTGACTATTGTCCAAAGTCTCTTAACATCTGTATTAGTTTTTCTCGCTTCACACAAAAGAGCAATTTGAAATAGTCTGTGTATCATATAGATTGGTCAACATACCTGAGGATGAATATATTGTCTATTAACGAGACATTTAGAACTTTATGGCTGTGTATATTAGGAATATCATTGATAACAATTTTTTTTCCATTTATCATTAAGGTTGTCTCCTTTCTTTGTTAACTTTGTTTCTTCATTCTTGTCAACCTGCCGTATAGATCAAACCTTACCGGATGTTTGCGCTATCGCTGCTATGACTCAATCACTAGTTAAGTTGTACTGTATGAAACAAATCCATATAAAGACAGAAGACACCACCAAAAGTGGTATAGACCGTATAGTACAGAAAATATGCTAGGGCAGCATGATACCGCTATTATATACACGTACCATATTTTTTGTCACAGGACAGTACTGTATACTTTGTGTCTGGGTATGTCTCATGACGTATAGGCGGATAGGAACTCATTATTGCGCATGCATACAGGGCAATGTCGTTGTCAAGTGTAATTATGCGACACTTGTGTAACTTGTCATAGGTCTGAGGGGTCATGATTTCTATTCCCAGGTTAGCCATACAAACCGTGCTCAGACGCTTGTTCTAACCTTTTCGTAGTACATGTATCGTGCACGCTGTTGGATTTATTGCATAGTTGGCCGTGTTAGAGCGGCACGTTTTCTCACATGTCCCAGTCAGGTCTGACAGACTACACGTACCTCTGTGAAACATCATGACATGAAAGACTGCCACATTATGAAACGGTCCACTGTTATGTCGTAACCTCGGGGCAGTTGTATAGAGTACCGCCTTCACCGCCGTAATAAAAGTCAGCGGCCGCCTACGTGAGCCTGACAGAGTCTGTCAAGTTCACCGCGAAGTTCTGGGTAATCCTGTTCCGCACAATGCCTCCATTGCGGATGCATATATCATGACGTGTTTTGCGGGTGGTACTCGTATACAAAGGGGGAGTGTTTGAAGCCCCTGTCACACATTCAAGAATCTCGCCTCCCGAACACTAGCCGAACTCCCCCCAACAAACAAGGCTTCGGGAGACGGCTGGAAAACGTAGAAATCGGCCAAATAGAGAGATAGCATGCCAAGGGAGTTTTTTCCGTTGAGAGTGCGGCGAACTGTTCTCTAAACAGACCAACTCCCCTGCATGCTATCTCTCTATTTAGCCGAATTCTACTCTTTCCAGCCGCCTCCCAAAGCCTGGTAGAGGCTAGGTCGGGAGCAAGGTTGGCTGGTGTGCGGCCAGGTCGGCTACTATTCGGCAGTTTCAAACATTCGGGTTTGGACGGGAGGTTCGGCTATGGTCGTCTGGTGTTCGGAAGTAGATGGGGAGCGAGATCGGCAGACAAATTTGACTCAAATTTAACTCAAAGTTGATTCGATTGGTATCGAAAGGTAGTCAGTCCACCTCGGTCGGCTGGTGTTCAGGGGAAGGGTCTGAATGTGTGAAGGCTTGAAGGGGTAAAAAAATCGTTCACACTCAGGACTCTCTTACAAAAGAACTGAGATTTTATGCACCACAGCCCGGCCAGTATTAGCTAAACACATCCGGCCAGGACTTCAGGATGTGTCTCCACAACACTAACACGGCATTAACTCAGCCGACACACGTTTGGTAGGCGAGGGGCAGCAAATGTGGTCCCGGGCACGAACTGACTTCCCCGCGGTCTTTCAAGTTATTTGTCTCGCGGCTTTGAGCTCAGCACAGCAAGAACTGAGGCGGCACACATCATCGGATTCATGGTGCTTAAGGTAAACAACATCATCCACTTAAGAGCAATTCTAAGGCCAATAAAGCACAACAAGGCACTTTTCAGATCCCCGCTACAGGCTCACACAAATCCGAGGATTTGAAAATTCCACAATGTCCCTTTACAGTAAAGAACCCGCAGTCCGAGTTTTCACACAAGTTACCGCATTCATTGAAGACATCGACTCGCAAAACATCGTTTGGAAGGGCACAAGATTGCGAACTTGAGAAAAGCTGGTCACAAGGGAGACGACATACCACCCCCGCGTTAAAAGCCGGTTCGTGGCGGTAAAGTCGGTAGCAGACGTGAGCTCGGGACGGGAGCTGAGATTAGCAGGTTGTTGGAAGGCTTAGACGGTGTTGTGTGTGGGGAGCTGTCTGGGTGAGCGATGATAGGACTATGCCAGGCTGCGGTGGATAAGTCTTAATGCCGTAATGCCGTGTTATTGTTCGGATTATCTGCACAATTACGTATACATCCTATTAGAATTCCAGGCACAGAGAAGACGGCACTTTGGTCTTTCTATAGGGACGGAATTAGAGGAAAGTGAAATTTGACACCTGTTGCTCGCAACAGCAGGTGGGTGCGCGGTACAGGGTGCGTTACAGAAAAATTTCACTAGAGGTCCTTCCTGGGCGCTAGCTTATATGTATGTTATTGCTGGCCGGATATTGTATCGAGAATAGTGCGTTTCTATTTCTATGCCTGAATGGGTTACGGTTATGATAAGGCACTGCCCTCCCTGATCTTCCCCCCACTCGTAGCCCTACCTGATGTTCCCCCTCCCCCCACTCGTAGCCCTCCCTGATGTTCCCCACCCCCCACTCGTAGCCCTCCCTGATGTCCCCCACCCCCCACTCGTAGCCCTCCCTGAATCAGAATTACAATCATACAACAAGATGTCTGAGATTCCAAACCTTCTGGAAGTGTTCAGAACGAGTACTGATAATTTCAGACGTCAGGTATGATGCGCTCGGATATGGCCACTACCATTCAACGACATGGCATTGACCATTGCAAGATATTAAGTATAGAAAATAATAAAATACTGGACACAATCGACAACTCGCCGCTTTATACCAAAAAGATGTTCAAATTTCGCATTTCTTCATTGTTCACTCTATATGGAAGCATGGATTGTACGTAATATAGGCATATGTAAAGAGAGAAAATCGACTGGCAAGTTTTTTTTCAATAAGTTTTATTGGGCCAAGGAGCAACAATCTTTAAGTACACAGTATGGTCGGAGTATATATACACGGTAACATTTTTATTTTATACCGGGATTACTAGTAATCTATACGTCTTCGGACCGACTCCATTGTTTGGCACTGAATCATGTTAATCATGTCAAGTATTTTTGGCGTCTTTTATCATGTCCTGTGTCTATATATTGGATGCCAGGTGGTCACTTTGGGTTTTGGATCCTCTTCATAACATTACACATAACTTGAAACTTGAAACTTAAAACAAAAAGAATCAATTCAAGAAATTTAAAAAGAGACGACTAATCCTCCAATGACACATTGGGTCTATTTTTTTTCTTATTTTCATCTCTTTTGATGCCATTAAAAAGTCATGATGTTCGGGTCGTCCGTTAGGTCACTCAGTTCTACCGTCTCCTTCTGGTGTCTGTAAAAAAAGAAAAGCATTATTAGTAACAGGGAAATAGATTCAACATGTATTGCTTTATTGGGTGGGCCAGAAGTATATGATCTGCAGTTACAACTACGATATTTCTGCGAATTTCCTATTTTTAGTTCAAACCCTGACGCTTCACACACGCTTTAATCTGTGCTTTATGGTCGGAGTTCTTGTAGTGACGGAATCTCAAAGGGAAAACAATTAAAACTTCTTACCTTCTTGATCTGCGAGAAGGTTCCCCTCGTCCAGGTCGTCCATTTCCCGTGTATCCAGCTGTTCGGGCTGTTCATTCAGTTCCTCCAGGAGCGCCCTCGCCTCTTCCATAACCTCCCTCAACTCTGAGTCAGCTGGAAGGACAAACGGAATGACAGATGTAAGACCAGATACAGTACATCAACTTAGGGTGGTGTTGGTTTTGTATGTGATGCACAGATTTATTCTTCAGTAACTTTTCAGATACTCTGGTGGTACATCAACTTAGAGCGGCGCAGGTTTTGTATATGATGCAGAGATCCATCCTCCAGTAACATTTAGATTACCCTGAACAGGGAAAATGAACACGTTGCAGAACATGTAAATTTCAGGTAAGTCGTTCTTTTCATCTCACAGACTAGTGTAGATTGTAAATTGTGCACAAAATGTCCTGTTCCATTCTCTTTATGTCTGATAAAGAGTATTCAAACAGTCAAAATTATGTCTAAGTTGAAATTGGCTGAACGTACCATCTGTATCGGCCTGGAGTCCGGATCTTCTGCGCCTGCGCCGGCGCCTCCATCCCTCGGAGTCGTCAATCAGCGTTGCCATGACAACGATCGTCACGAGCAGCACGCAGACAAACAGCTTCATGTTGGAGCTTCGGTTGATGTGGGGAGGGGAAGAAAATGATTATTCTTGCCGTTTTACGTACTTACTCACTTTTTTTCTGGATATGGAAGATCTCATATACTAGATATGGTTATAGTTAGTATAGAACTATTTGGGACACGTATTGATAAGGGATACACTACAGCAAACTTACTTATTTTTAGACAGGTAAAAAAGGCCGCAATAACTATACGAACGTGAACCTGGCAGATCGATAAAGAAATTTAAAGGGGAAAAAGTAAACAGAAAGAGAATAACTTTTATATATTTACTCGTGGCTGTCACACACACACACACAAACAAACTGGCAACATAACCACGCGACGAACCCACTAAATACCCCAAAACCGCTAAGGCGCATATGACACGAAACGGAAGAGTGATCGAGACCAACACACTACAGAAAACATTATCACACAGTTTCTTCGGTGAAGGTTAGATATCTACTTGTTAATGAGATACACAATGAAAATATTACTCAAGTAACTGGGTACTAGTAGATTTTGAAAACTGATAGACGTTTCAAGTAGCAATCACTACCTAATGGTATATGCAGATGAACAGTTATTTAAAAAATAGTTACCTGCTTAGCCACAGATTCTGTTAGTCATTAAAGAAAGTAGTGAAATGTCTGATAGTTTTCAAAATCTAGTTGGTGAGAAATTGATACTTACAGAAGTAGGTAGATGACAGAACGATGTCACTCAGAGATCACGGCTGGAGGAATGAATGAAAAGGACTCGCGGGGATGGGAATATATACTCCACCGTACAAGACAATTATGCAAATTAGTAATTATAGCTTTTTGGTAGTGACTTAGAGTTGTTGTCTGTTGATAATGGCGCTATAATGATTGTCTGTGAAAAGACAACTGTGAGGAATAAGACAATCAGAACATTGTGAAAGAAACTTGTCTGTCAGTGGTAGATGTTTGTCATAGACAATAGAAAGAGAAGACAACTTTGGAAAGAGTACACTCACACAGTTTTGAAAGGGACCTGCATGTGAAGGATAGATCACGGTGTGTAAAATCAGCCAAGTGCAGGAAGTTAAAGGCATTCAATAGAATTTTAGGGCGTCAAAAATACTTAATCTGGATGAGGAAATCTGTCTGACATTGACTGTCATTTCTTATCAAACTCTCGTCATCGTTTCATACTTGCAGAGTCTGAAATAACTCCCCGAAAGAAGCTACATGATGAGTCCCTTTATGTTTTGGTATCACTATTATGTACCTACTAGAACTAGCCTACGAAACAACCTTTCCCTCAACGACACCACAATTTTCGCTCACAGATATCAATATCCTCTAGGATATAATTGCAGATTTTGATAGTGACCCAGAATTCCTTGTCTGTTGAAGTGCTGCATGAGCGAGAAAGACAACTGTGAAAATAAGAGAATTTCTAAACGAGAATTGTCTGCCAACGACAGATGTGCGACCTAGATAGTAGAAAGAGAAGACAACATTGGGAAGAGTACATTCAAACGTTTTTAAATACCTGCATGTGAAGGAAACGAACCGACAATATAGAGTACATGAATAGCAAAGTTCTTTGATCACAACCATTTATTTGTCACGAGCCGCCGTTTCGATGACCGTCTGTCATCTTCATCAGGGCAATTCTGACTGGTTTACTGTGCAGTGACGCTAGATGTTACTTGGTGCATAGTGCACTAAAGGTGTTACATAATTCACAGTGCACTAGTATGTATGTCACAATTATGGAGCCTAGTATATAATGCCTAGTATGTATGTCACAATTACACTACGTTCCGGAATGCATTGTAAACAGTAAAAACTAGCTGAAATGCGCTATGAACTATGTGTAACACCTTTAGTGCACTATGCACCAAGTAACATCTAGCGTCAGTGCACAATAAACCAGTCAGAATTGTCCTGATGAAGATGACAGACGGTCATCGAAAAGTCGGCTCGTGACAAATAAACGATTGTGATCAAAGAATTTTGCTATTCATTCGTTTACCAACCAGATGAAATTATTTACGAATGTAGAGTACACTTTGCTAGGGCTAGCGAGTGCAAGGAGCAAATCGGCTAGAACTGTACGTTGTGTGAGTAGGGTCGCCGCTAGAAATAGTGAAAACAAAGGAGTTCGGAGATTTCATAGCTCCATAAAACATTCCGAGTTTTGTATATTTTTCATGAACCAAGAACCTTTTTTTTGTCCGTGTGTGCATGTGTGTGGATGGTGTTCAGCACCAAGGACAGATATGCGTGGATGGTGTTTAGCCAAGACATGGAGAATTGCCTTGAGTTGCCTCTTTAAAATATAGGAAACCACGACATCTGATAGGAGTTATCATGGAATAAAAACAAACATAAACACCAAAGAAACTGCAATGCTGAGAATTCATTTGTATTTCATGCACAAATCGTTAAGTAGTACATTTCTTTCTTGTGAAAAGTGCCTGAAAATTAGATTTCCTTCCCATTCTAACTAGCAACAAACAATGCATCCCGAAAAACATCGTTTTTACACTCGACTGGTCAGCTTTATATCTCCTTATTGCAACATTGTTGATTATATACATACACGTGTTTCATTTAATGTAAGTCTAGCTGTCTTGCATAATAGTATCATTAACATACGGTATGGAAGACTTCATTTTGTGAGTCAGGTCAGTCTTTATATTACAGTCCTAAAACTATGTTACTCTGATCAACATTGTTCAAAGTTGTAAAGTTTCTTTAACAGTAAGGTAGCTGCTTTACACAACTACTGATACGCACAATATACCCATGCACGGTAGGAACTAAGTCTAAGTAAAGGGAAAAATCGATTGGCAAGTTTTTATATTTTTTCAATAAGTTTTATTGGACCAAGGAGCAAAAATCTTTAAATACACAGTATGGTCTCAGTATATATACACGGAAACATTTTTATTTTATACCGGGAGTACTAGTAATCCATACGTCTTCGGACCGACTCCATTGTTTGGCACTGAATCATGTTAATCATGTCAAGTATTTTTGGCGTCTTTTATCATGTCCTGTGTCTATACATTGGATGCCAGCTGGTCACTTTTGGGTTTTGGATGATCTTCATAACATTACACTTTATACAAAAGGAATCAATTCAAGAAATTTAAAAAGAGACGACTAATCCTCCAATGACACATTGGGTCTATTTTTTCTTATTTTCATCTCTTTTGATGCCATTAAAAAGTTATGTTGTTCGGGTCGTCCGTTGGGTCACTCAGCGCTACCGTCTCCTTCTAATGTCTGTAAAAAGAAATGCATTATTAGTAACAGGGAAATAGATTCAACATGTATTGCTTTATTAGGTGGGCCAGAAGTATATGATCTGCAGTTACAACTACGATATTTCTGCGAATTTCCTATTTCTTAGTTCAAACCCTGAAGCTTCACACACGCTTCAATCTGTGCTTTACGGTCAGAGTTCTTGTAGTGACGGAGTCTCAAAGGGAAAACGATTAAAACGTCTTACCTTCTTGATCTGCGAGAAGGTTCCCCTCGTCCAGGTCGTCCATTTCCCGTGTATCCAGCTGTTCGGGCTGTTCATTCAGTTCATCCAGGAGCGCCCTCGCCTCTTCCATAACCTCCCTCAAATCTGAGTCAGCTGGAAGGACAAACGGAATGACAGGTGTGAGACATGTCACAGATACAGTATATCAACTTAGGGTGGTGTTGGTTTGTATGTGATGCACAGATTGATTTTTCAGTAACATATCAGATACTCTGGTGGTACATCAATTTAGAGCGGCGCAGGTTTTGTATATGATGCAGAGATCCATCCTCCAGTAACATTTAGATTACCCTGAACAGGGAAAATGAACACGTTGCAGAACATATAAATTTCAGGTAAGTCGTTCTTTTCATCTCGCAGACTAGTGTAGACTGTAAATTGTGCACAAAATGTCCTGTACCATTTTCTTTATTTCTGATAAAGAGTATTCAAACAGTCAAAATTAGTTGAAATTGTCTGAACGTACCATCTGTATCGGCCTGGAGTCCGGATCTTCTGCGCCTGCGCCGGCGCCTCCATCCCTCGGAGTCGTCAATCAGCGTTGCCATGACGACGATCGTCACCAGCAGCATGCAGACAAACAGCTTCATGTTGGAGCTTCGGCTGATGTGGGGAGGGGAAGAAAATGATTATTCTTGCCGTTTTACGTACTTACTCACTTTTTTCTGGATATGTTGAGTGTCCATTTTGAAGATCTCATATACTAGATATGGTTATAGTTAGTATAGAACTATTTTGGACACGTATTGACAACAAACTACAACAAACTTACTTATTTCTAAACAGGTAAAAAAGGTCGCAATAACTATACGAACGTGAACCTTGCAGATCGATAAAGAAACTTAAAGGGGAAAAAGTAAACAGAAAGAGCATAACTTTTACATATTTACTCGTGGCTGTCACACACACACACACAAACTGGCAACATAACCACGCGACTAACCCACTAAATACCCCAAAACGAGAAGGCGCATATGGCACGAAAACGGAAGAGCGATCGAGACCAACACACTACAGAAAACATTATCACACAGCTGCTTCGGTGAAGGTTAGACATCTACTAGTTAATGAGTTAATGAAAATATTACTCAAGTAACTGGGCACTAGTAGATTTTGAAAACTGCTAGACGTTTCAAGTAGCAATCACTACCTAATGGTATATGCAGATGAACAGGTATTCAAACAAATAGTTACCTGCTTAGCTACAGATTCTGTTAGTCATTAAAGGAAGTAATGGATTCTACTTGAAATGTCTGACAGTTTTCAAAATCTAGTTGGTGAGAAATTGATACTTACAGAAGTAGGTAGATCACAGAACGATGTCACTCAGAGATCACGGCTGGAGGAATGAATGAAAAGGACTCGCGGGGATGGGATTATATAGTCCACCGTACAAGACAATTATGCAAATTAGTAATTCTAGCTTTTGGTAGTGACTTAGAGTCGTGTCTGTTGATAATGGCGCAATGATAATTGTCTGTGAAAAGACAACTGTGAGGATAAGACAATCACAACATTGTGAAAGAAACTTGTCTGTCAGTGGTAGATGTACGTCATAGATAATAGAAAGAGAAGACAACTTTGGAAAGAGAAAGAGTACACTCACACGGTTTTGAAAGGGACCTGCATGTGAAGAATAGATCACGGTGTGTAAAATCAGCCAAATGCAGAGAGTTAAAGGCGTTCAATACAATTTCAGGGCGTCAAAAATACTTGTTTTGGATGAGGAAATCTGTCTGACATTGACTGTCATTTCTTATCAAACTCTCGTCATCGTTTCATACTTGCAGAGTTTGAAATAACTCCCCGAAAGAAGCTACATGATGAGTCCCTTTATATTTTGGTATGGCTATTATATACCTACTAGAACTAGCCTACGAAACAACCTTTCCCTCAACAACATCACAATTTTAGCTCACAGATATCAATATCCTATAGGATATAATTGCAGATTTTGATAGTGACCCAGAATTCGTTGTCTGTTAAAATAGTGCTATGAGCGAGAAAGACAACTGTGAAAATAAGACGAGAATTGTCTGCCAACGACAGATGTGTGACCTAGATAGTAGAAAGAGAAGACAACATTGGAAAGAGTACATTCAAACGTTTTTAAATACCTGCATGTGAAGGAAACGAACCGACAATATAGAGTACATGAATAGCAAAGTTCTTTGATCACAACCATTTATTTGTCACGAGCCGCCGTTTCGATGACCGTCTGTCATCTTCATCAGGGCAATTCTGACTGGTTTACTGTGAACTGACGCTAGATGTTACTTGGTACATAGTGCACTAAAGGTGTTACATAATTCACAGTGCACTAGTATGTATGTCACAATTATGGAGCCTAGTATATAATGCCTAGCATGCATGTCACAATTACACTACGTCCGGAATGCATTGTAAACAGTAAAAACTAGCTGAAATGCACTATGAACTACGTGTAACACCTTTAGTGCACTATGCACCAAGTAACATCTAGCGTCAGTGCACAATAAACCAGTCAGAATTGTCCTGATGAAGATGACAGACGGTCATCGAAACGTCGGCTCGCGACAAATAAACGGTTGTGATCAAAGAATTTTGCTATTCATTCGTTTACCAACCAGATGAAACTACTTACGAATGTAGAGTACAGTTTGCTAGGGCTAGCGAGTGCAAGGAGCAAATCGGCTAGAACTGTACGTTGTGTGAGTAGGGTCGCCGCTGGAAATAGTGAAAACAAAGGAGTTCGGAGATTTCATAGCTCAATAAAACATTCAGTTTTTGTATATTTTTCATGAAGCAAGGGCCTATGTATTTGTCCGTATGTGCTTGTGTGTGGATGGTGTTCAGCACGAAGGACAGATACGCTTGAATGGTGCTTAGCAAAGCATGGGGAATTGCCTTGAGTTGCCTCTTTAAAATATAGAAAACCACGACATCTGATAGGAGCTCTCATGGAATAAAAAACAAACATAAACACGAAAGAAACTGCAATGCTGAGAATTCAATTGTATTTCATGCACAAATCCTTTAGTAGTACATGTCTTTCTTGTGAAAAGTGCCTGAAAATTAGATTTCCTTCCCATTCTAACTAGCAACAAACAAGGCATCCCGAAAAACATCGTTTTTACACTCGACTTACTATCGTCTTGTTGCAACATTGTTGATTATATACATACACGTGTTTCATTTAATGTAAGGCTAGCTGTCTTGCATAATAGTATCATTTTGTGAGTCAGGTCAGTCTTTACAGTCCTAAAACTATTTTACTCTGATCAACATTGTTCAAAGTTGTAAAGTTTCTTTAACAGTAAGGTCGCTGCTTTACACAACTACTGATACGCACAATATACATGAATTTCTATATGCTGTTGATAGTTTTAATACAGTGTCTCAAAATAAAATTACTGCACAAGCTATACGGCAAAGTTCCTGGGTGCATGAAAAATAATATTCCAAAGAATCTTTGATTTTGTCATCAAGACGAAAAGCAAGAAGCTTATGCATCCGCGACCTCCAAATTTCAACAGCAATTGTTTTCAATTCTCAACAACGACAACAACAACCATGATCATTAAAGTTCCAAACTGAATTTTGAGCCTCTTGAACGTTGTTTGGACGGGGAATAGTTACATGAATCTATCATGGACACAACGCTTGGATTTAGGGCAATTGTGAAGCTGCATTTCAATACTCTGCCATGGCATATTGGGTGAGTGTGGAGCTGTAAAATAAAACTTCCTAAATGCTTTGGCGGCGATAGCTTGCCTTGTCCGTTGACTGCTTTATCCTTGATTTTGACATATCAGTGCTGAGGGTTTTAGTCCTGTGAGCCCGGCCTTTCCTACCCTGTTCGTGTGTCAAGACATCATCTTTAGTTTCGTTGATAGGCACATGCAGGGTTTGTTGGTACGATATATTTGTACGTGTTTTGTTGTGTCCTAGTGTGTGCGCGGCCTGGTAACTCACGTTAACGTTAGCGCGCTGTGTGGCCGCCATAGAAGAGCGGACAGCCGGGTTATGGTACAAGGCTCTCCCCTGGTCTCTGCCCTGTGGTCTGCCATATTTACCGGCCAAAGCTAGATCTCTGGCTCTGTATCTGCTCATTGCGGACACTCCGTACTGCCTAACGTTTGTCAGCTTCTGACGCACAGGTATCTGTAGGTCTGACCTGGTTCGGGGGAGAGTTCCGTACTGTCTCACGCGTGTCTTCCTCTGACGTGCTGTTCGGTACCTATTCTGGGTTTCTGCCGTTGGAGCGGCTGTGCCGTAGGCTGGATGCCTGCCGCCCTGTCTGGCTGCTGAAGGAAGGACCACCTCAGCTTCGGCGGCGTAGAAACGCACATCATCATCATCATCGTGTGGACTGTATGTGGGGGGAGGGAGTGGGGCCGTGTGTTCTCGTAGTCGAAGTAACTGTCAGAGATTTCACAGTACGGATGTTGTACCCCCAGAGGTTGTGCGTTGTAGTAGTCGCCATCATCTGTGATTTTCCAGTAAGAATGCTGTGCCTCCGGCCTTGCGTTCAAGTTGGAGTCGTTGTGATCTGGGATTTCCCAGTACGGATGCTGTACCCATGGACGTGTGTTGTAGTAGGTGAAATGCTCGTCAGGGATGCGGCTGTACTCGAGCTCGTCACTGGTAGATGACTGAGAGTCCTGCCCGGCCGTGCCCGCGCCTGTTCCTGGGCAAGGCGTGCACTGACTGACGCCCACAGTTCGGCTGTTTGCTCCACTGATTATCCAGCGGCTCGTAGGGACGACAGCCAGCGGAGGCCCTGGTGGTGCCTGTGCGGCTTGGTGGTCCCGTGAACCATACCGCTTTCTCATAATGCACGCCCCTATGAGCAATGCTATCAGGACAACTCCAGCCAGCTGGACACCGCCTACGACAGTTAGTCCGGTGAAGATCCCCACACCGTCCGGCAGGGGGCGCTCCTTCTCGCGCTCTACAGTTGATGTCACTGCTGGAGTTGTGTAGGGGCTGGTCTGATCCAGGCTGACCTTGGTGTTTGGGGGGGTCTGGGGCTCTTCTGTTGTCTGTGTCTTATTTGGGCGGGTCTGGGGCTCTTCTGTTATCTCTGTCTCCGTCCTCTTCTCTTCACACATGACGCCGCTAGAAGTGTCTGACGCGATCACGGGGAAGACATGTAGGTACATCTCGCCCCTAGCTTTGAGAAAACACGACACGTTCATATATATCCTGTCCACACCCTCCATATCAGCAGACAAGACCACAGCGACAACCTGAGGTTCGTCAGACCCGCCTGCAGCCAGGGGAACGATCCTCAGAGTCACCCCTAGCCCCACCGCTACCCTAACGCTGCCGGCGTCTCCCCAGGCATGTCTGCACCATTGTGTGGCGTTAGGCGGCTTGTCTGCGTCACTGTTTACTGATATCATCACAAATGGCACTTTGTACATGCCTACAGCAGCCCCGGCGATGTCGCGTCGGCGCCTGGAGCATGAATTGTACGGGCTTAATACATCTATCTCAGCTGGCGGCAGCTTGTCGAGGGTGTTCATATGTATGTGGACGAGATTTTTGTTCAGGTAACTTTCTGTGATACAGAAAAGCTCTTCGTTAACCCTCACTGAAACATCAGGCCCTTTCTTGGAGCTTGCGAGTCGGTAGTGGAGACGCCATTTCGTGACCGGAGATACAGGATCGTCGAGAGGAGGCAGCCTGTTCCCGCTCACTTCAAGAAGTCGCAGCATTTGTAGCGCCTTCATAGAATCACTTGACAGACATGTGAAAGCATTCCTGCTCAAGTCTAACTCACGTAGCCGAGACAGGGACTCAAACGCCTGTGGATGGATGCTTTTGATGGAGTTCGATTTCAATGATAGACGGACTAGATTTCTTAATCCATGGAACCAAAACGGCCGGATATTTTGCAAATAGTTACTGTTAAGTAGCAATCCTTCCAATATCGTGATGTTTTGGAAGCATTTTGGATCGATGTTATTGATGTGGTTGTGTGCGAGGGACAGGGTTCTTAACGATTTGGGGAACATTAAGCCACTAAACCAGTTCCACTTCACGTGAGTCAGGTTGTTATGGTCGAGGTACAAGTGACTCAGTTCCAGAAAGGCAGAGAAAGTGTCCTGTTCTAAATATGTGATGCCGCATTCTCGGAGGGAAAGTTCAGTGATCAGGTTATTCTCAGGTGGTCGGAGTTTTGACAAAATCCCAGACGTGAAACCTCTAACCCCCACATGTGCCCTGTCAGGGAGACATGGCGAGGTCGGCTCAGAGGAGTTTGCATGTTGTTGTTGTTGTTGTTGTTCCGGGATACATGTGTAGCAAGTGCTATTAAAGGTCTGGTTCTGAGGTACGTTGTACGCGGCGCAGGGTCCCCATGATTCAATGCTCGTGCACCCAGGGAAACATGCCGTGTCTAAACCTGTGCATCCTACCAAAATTGCTAGAGCAATTATTTCCTTAAACATGCTAGACATTTAACATATAGTTACAATGAAGTAAAAGTTAAACTTAACAAAATGCCTATTACTTTGTCGACTGTACTGACTGCTGCGTAGAACGGCTGCCTTAGCCTCGGCTGTCCACTGCTGCAGGCTTTTTAGGCTGCCCAAGAGTCTGCGTCACCTGAAAAAGTATAGGCAAATTATTCTTCTCATTCAGTATATTATGTTAGACAAGCCGCGACGCGGCGGCGGCTGGCTTCATTACACCGAACGACTTGTTACACCTAACCCTTGAACATCTAACTCTATCTAATGATAATGCCCCTACTGTAGTGTTTTTGAGCACCTCAATCCTTGCTTGGTTGATGACTTGAAGTTTGTTTCAGGTTCTCGGACGTGCAAAATTAAACTTTCTGTCCGTATTCTATGATATGATAAATATTGCCAGGCTCAACTAGTATGATCTAAATCTTACCGGTTTGTCAAGCGCCGGGCTTTACTTGTTCTCCTCGCATCTCGTGTCAGCTGGATCTAAAACGGAACTTCTCATTCCTGCGATTTCCGAGCTTCTCATTTGTTCTTCGCAACGTAATCAGGACTGGTAGCCATGGCAACGGTAAAAGACGTCAGTCACACGGCGCGACACGCTACGATATGAATATCTTTCGCGAAATATTGTCTACATTTTTTGGAGTTTTAATGTGATGATATGTGGAGAGTGCTGTTAGCTGAGCATGGGGCGATTAGTCTCTACCAGGCTTCGGGAAACGGCTGGAAAAGTAGAAACCGGCCAAAATATACAAATAACATTCCAGGGTTAGTTGGTCCGCTAAAGGAGATGAGAACAGTTTGCCATTTCCTAATTGTATACTCTTCAGTGCACCAGTGTTATCTGTCTTTTTGGCCAATTTCGACTTTTTCCAGCCGTTTCCGGGTAGAGGCTAATCGCCCCCATGCTCGGCTAACAGTACTCTCCAAATATGACATTAAAACTCCAAAAATGTAGACAATATTTCGCGAAATATACTCATATTCATATCGTAGGAGATTTTTCCACACCGCACGTCGATAGAGGCTAGCAAAACGTTTTTCATAGATAGTTGTGACCTAGATTCCAGTGTTGTGAGATATTTCTACACCTTTTGGCCGAAATGTTATCATGTATTACTCTTAAGTTAACTAGAGGTCATTCCAAAAAGTTCTAGGTTAATGTCTGTGTAGACCCGGCAAAACCTTATCTGGGTAAGTCATGATTGTTCCTTTAATTAATAAGGTACGAGTATGCTTGCAGGCTGATATTCTGGAACTATATTGTTCCCGGTGCACACTACTTTGAAAAACAGTATGTTTGAGAAAATCAATGAGATATCTCTAGTGTAGGACCCACATTTACGCACAGTTTAGATATGTAGGAGTGCATTATACTGTTGCATTGGAGATCTGTTTAGAAGAATTATGTTAGTAAAATATTTAGTAGACTATTGCAATTCATACAACTGTTGCACCAACTCCGTCGACGTTGCCCCTCCACTGAACTATACATATTATGCTGAATGTATTTACATGTACAGGAGGCAAATGGCCCTTCCGTGTTTGCTCGCTCCATCTAATGGTAGCTGGCAATTGCTTACCATAGTTTGGTAAAAACACGTTTCTAATTTTGATTGATAAAACCCCTGTCACACCACGGCGGTCTGTCACTACGGTATTCTTTCCCATTGCTAGGCGCGTTCTAAAAGGTATCGGGTTACAAGACGCTATTTTGGCCGATTTTGGCCTACCAGTAAAACACTTGAAAATAAACAAAAAGGATTTAATGGAAAATTTCGTCAAATTAAAATGAAATTATTGCCTTAACATCCTTTCAATATTAGCTGTTTATGTTAAATCATTGATTTTTCAAAATTTCGCTCCGAAAGACGATTTTTTGCGGGTTTCCGACCACAAGTCATGCCATGTTTTTAGGCAAACATCGTTTTAACCTGGCTACAGATATTACCCCAGATTACCGATTTTTATATTTTTCGACGACTAGGAATAAGATCAAAAATCGTGTTTTAGGGATTTTTTAATTTCTGATTTTAAGTCTAGTTTTTGTCGACATATTGGTGAAAAAATGATTTGTTTTTACATTTTTCGCACTAAATTACCCATAATTCAAAATTGAGGCCATCTTTCAAAAATCCCTAAAACACGATTTTCGGGACAACCGTAACGGGTCATTTTGAGCCGTGAATGGGGTATGCTTGACTTTCCATGCTTGCAGGTTAAAACGAGTTTTGTCAGACATGTCATGTCGACCAAAAGTCTGCATTGTGTTATTCATACTGGTGTAAAGAATCATTACAGTATTCAAGGTCACCCAAGGATACGACAGTAGCTTCGCTACATGTTACATGTCCACAAAAAATGATAGCGGACATGTATTGTCCACGAAACTGTTTGTATCTATAGAAAAGTGTTGATTTTTATCTGTTGCACGGCACGGAGGCAGAAAGGCTTGTTTTGCCGCTTTATTGTAAATGAACGCAGGTGACCCCGAAATAGAACGCGGGTTCGATTCGAATTGCCCAAATCGAACACGATCGAACACAGTTCGGGTTCTATGGCATGTGGGAACTTTGCAACCCAGATTTTACCACCGTGCACATAGACGAATACTGTAGTGTCGAACTCTCCCCAATCATGGTTGGGAGTTGGTCGAGGGCAAGCTTAAGGTCGATTGTGGCTTCCGGGTGCAGTGTACTATATACTTACTGTTTTATATTGCTGGGCAGATATATATTATTGTTGCATATAGGAGAGAGAGAGAGAGAGAGAGAGAGAGAGAGAGCATAACATAGTTTGTCCCTCAGTAATCAGAGAATAATGTCTCAGGGATT